ATAATAAAAATTATAAGCTTTTGTATTATATATATATATATATATATATATATATATTACTTTCCATAAATCTTTAACTAATCAATATTCACCTTTTTTATTTTTATTTTTTTATTTTTAAAATAATAGAGGCACATAATGCCTCTCCCTCACTAGTATATTATTATATTTATTTCCCTCTTGCAGTTGATATATTTGATTGGCTATTATATAAGAATGGTCATGGATTTGACTGGTCCTCCATTGTTAGGTTATTAACTTATTTGTAAGTACTGTTATATTTGTGGTATGCTTTGACATTGAAAATAGGGAAACCTCCCTTTTGCCTTAACATTTTTGTTCATATTTTTTTTGAAATATTGTTGTGTAAAGTTTAATCTTGAAAAGTTTTGAAATTCATCTCCCTACTATTTAACCATGTGTTTAATTCTATATGGAAATGATAGATTTTTGGTGTTTGTGTAGTTCCACTTTTTTGGTCTGAATTCCTTCCTTTCTCTGTATACAATGTTGAATACACCATCTATTACTGTTAATCAATCAAACGTTATTTTCATAGGAATTTTATTGAAGTGGTACCAATTGTGTGCTTTTTATACTTGTGGGCTTCCATCCTTGACTAGTGAATTGTATTATTAATTTATAAAAAAGGAATAGAGACTTTCATTATTTTTTTATTAACAGAAAAAGTTCTTATAAATTAGTTTGCCCTTTGATCCAATGTGAAAAGTATGCAGATGTGCAGCTTATCAACCATTGCTCGTGAGTATGTGGCTATACGAACTATAAGCTGTCTCCCATACAAGGATTTAATATTAAATGCAGTTGGAGAGAATTTTGGCACAGAAGTTGAGGGTTGGAAAATCCCAATACCTTTGAAGGAATACGTTGAAAGTACTTTCAATCAGTATCAACATGAAGCCATAACAGTAAGTTTTTTAGTTTAGAAATTTGATAAAGTAATTATCTTTTTGCTCTTCTTTGAAGCAATCCAATGTTCTTTCTTTTTGTGTTTCGTTAGCTACTGATATATTGTTTGGAAAGGATAAATATGGGGTTCTGGTAATTACTTAAAGATGACATATTTTCAAGTTTGGATTTGACATTTAGTTAAGGATGATATAGTTAAAACTCAGTTTATTACTTCAAGCGTATTATCATGCATAACATATCCATGTAATTAAGAGTCCCGTTTCTCACTTTTTTATTTCCAACTTTTCCCATTTTAAACGTGTCCCTAGTTTTCCCCTGTTTTCTTTTATTATGTACATGTTTAAAGGCTTAGACTTCAACAACTTCAATCTCATCTTAATTTCTATTGGATTTGATATAGGAGTTTAAAAAAATACACGAGCTAATAACCTCCAAAGCAAGCTACCTAAAATAAATTAAAATAAACAGTAAAACAGAAAACTTAAAGCTCTCCAATCTCTTCCCATCTTCATATATGCTTTCTTCTGTATCATTTTCTTTTGTTTTTATGAACACTTTAGTACTTTTTTGTGGTGAGAAAATGTCTTTTTATTGGTGAATCCCAATAGAAAGATCTTTGAAAAAAGTAAAAGCTATTTTACATTTGAATGCAATCTTCAAAAAGTATTTTTAAGTGTTTGAAAAGCTTCTCCTCTCTTAAAGTTAGTTAGCTTTTGTATGGTCTTTTTCTAGAACCACAAGTTTTGCTAGGAAAAAAACAATTTTTTTGTCTTTTTAGTTTAAAGCTCATCCAAGCATGCACAATTATAAGAAAAATCTATACTGCAAGATATGCCATGATCAGTTACCAGTCAAATAACAAAGAGGAGAGAGAAAATGACCAAAAAATCTTTATAAGTGAAGAACTGAAGCTCGATCAGAAGTTTTTATTGCTTTATAAGACATAAAGCTCGTGTAGCATTTATTTATTCCAGTGACTTATATCTGTTGCAGGCTGGTCTATCATCCAAAGCCTTTGTCCTGATACAGGTTTGTCTTTATGTCTAGCTTTGCTTCTGATTTAAATGTTTTTGCATGCTTGCCTTTTCTTTTAGGTAATATTTGATGTTATGTTTATCAGTTTATGCCGAATTGTTTTGTGCAAAGACTTGTTTGTTATAGTTGTGAATTGGGAGGAATTTATTGCGAAGAACTTCCAATTTGAAGCTCTCCTGCTGCCAGTTTTTCTCCAATTTTGGGAGAAATTTATCGGATTTTTTTATTTTTTTATTTTTTAAGTTCTGTAAGAGAGTAACCAGTTAGACTGGATGAACTGGTTCAGTTCTTGACTTCTTGCAATGGATATAATTTATCCTTTGCTACTTTGTGTTTCTTATCATACAAATCTTGGTCATTGGGTCAGAGTTTGTAAGTTATTACTACTGGAAAACCGGTTATGATGTTCATTTCTATCATGCCACTATGTCCTTTTCAGTTTTTTGGCTGAAGCTACATCCTTTCTTGATAATGTAGTTGCTGTTGTAATTTCTAGCAGACATCACTTGCTAGATATCTGTAGATGTATATTTGGTTTTTTTTATCAATGTGTAGTAGTAGTTGCTTTTTTTTTTTTAATAAATTGTAATTAAGTCTAACAAACTCCTTTCAGGGGCCTCCAGGGACTGGGAAGACTCAGACTATCCTTGGGATTCTGAGTACCATTTTGCATGCAACTCCGACAAGAATGCATTCAAAGTAAGTATACTATTTTTATATATTTCTGCTGTCTTCTATGTCTAAAAGATAAAAATTCTGTTTTTGGTTTCGATTGTTGTCTTGATCAAAGCATTATGTTAATAGAGGTTATATTTTGAAACAATTTTTTCTTCGACCAAGCAATTTATGGTCACATTTTTGTGTAACATTTCATTGTTCATACATATGTTTATTGATATTTGTTTCTTGGAATCAGGACTTATGAGCTAAGGCAGGGACCACAATTGCCTCTTGAGGAGAAGTAAGTTTTTGCTTTGAGAATATCTAGGCATCACTTAATCAAGAAAACTTTATGTCATGGGTGCTGGTTTTTTCCTGTGATTCTGATATGATATTTCTTTGTATTCCTCATATGGGACATCTTTTAAAATCTTTTCTTTGTTCTTTTCATTATTGGTTTCTTCTTTCTTTTCTAGTTATACATGTTTGCTCTCTGTCTATGCCTATCTTCCTGCAGTTCATATTTAAATATTGTTTTGAATCTAAGTAGAAGTTCAACAATAAGGATAAAAACAGATATTTATATACTATAGCATATACATCAAGTAAATACTTGTAATTAAGGCACATTTTCTTGGTTTCTCTTATCTTAAGTTGGTTTAACTATATATTGGCATTATAAGAAGCTGGAGGATTGTTCAAAGCTAAGGACACTGGCTTATACAGGCAAGATGCAAGAGGTCTGAGTGATTACTTATTTGATCTGTGTTGTTGGAGGAAGATAAGGGAGGGAGAAAAACAACTGGCTTAACTGTACTTTAGAATTCTCCAAGGTCCAAAGAAAGTATTTGGATTAAGAATATTCATAAGTAGGTTTTCATTAACTTAAGATATCCTGATTAAGATATGATTCTAGATGTTTAATGTATTAGGCTAGATAGGTCAGCTTTATATAGTTGAGAGTATGAATGTAGGTCCGTAATAGAATGCACTTCCAAACTGATAAAGTTGATTTTGGCCTCCTTAGTATCCCTTGCATGTTGGCTCCCTCTTTCATTCTTAGTCTTTGTGGAATTTAAGAATAACTGAATTTGATTAGATGATGTTGCACAAGTGCCTTGCAACTGTTAGTTTTAAATTATATATTCTGCAATCACCTTGTTGATTAATTTCACCTTGTCTGATATTGTATTATATTGCCGCCATTTAGTCTTATTTAATAATGAATTTGGGATTGTGACCACTCTGCCACAAGAACAATTAAAATAGAACAAAGATGGTTATTATACTAGCTTTGTTGGTAAAATTACTTTTCATATTTCATCTTGCTTAAAGATTTTTTTATCATCTTTTCTATTCCACTTTCCTTTGGTAGACAAAGACATTGGGGACTAGCATCTCCATGGCTTAGTGGTATTAATCCAAGGGATAGTTTGATGCCAAAAGATGGTGATGATGGTTTTTTCCCAACCACTGGAAATGAACTAGTAAGTATTTTTTTTTGTTGGTTAAAATTGTTGATTTTGCAAAATAATATCTTCACTAATAATGGGTTTTATCAGAAACCTGAAGCTGTAACTTCAAGTCGTAAGTATCGTGTAAGAGTGCTAGTATGCGCCCCATCAAATTCTGCCCTTGATGAGATTGTGTTGAGGGTTCTCAATGGAGGTATAAAGTTTCTCTAATGCATTTATTTGGGAAAAAAGTTTTTCTTTTGTGTTACATTCCCTAGCATGATGTGATGATGCTATCAGAGTAAAAGAATGACAAGGACTATTTGTTTAGAAAGCAGCAAAATTTGGTAATTAGTCATCTGAAAGTAATTCTGTACTAAATTATAATGTTAAATGTTCTGAAGCCTGCAGAATTGGAATCTCTTACATAAAATTAAAAACTGTGGCATTGAGTGCAGTGTGATGCATGGTTAATACTTAGTTTTCTGTTTGGGGCGGGGGTTAAGATTTCAATTGGGACACCTTTGCTAGGGAGATGTCATTTGCCATCAATTGAACTTGGCTGAACAATTCTTGACTTTCTTTTTTATCATTCCTTGTTTATTTTTGGTTTTCTCTTTAGAATTTCTTATTTCTATACTATCCTATTATGATTGCATATTAATTTTTAATTATTGTTTACGGATTTTATCAGGTGTACACGATGAAAATGACCGTGCATATTGCCCTAAAGTTGTGCGGATTGGTCTCAAAGCACATCACTCTATCAAGGCCGTTTCCTTGGATGAACTTGTGTGTGGAAGAAGATTAGACCAATTGTGTTTTAATTAGCTATGCTACCACCGTTGTTGTTTAATTTTCCTTATCATTACTTCTGCAAAATTTGGTTATAATGCCATGATCATGCATGGCAGGTCAGGAAGGAAGCTTAACTATTAAATTGATGGTTTTGTTAACATCAACACTTGAGGCTGATGTTATGCATCTTAAAGTAGTAAGTTTTTATTGGGAATAAACATTTATTGATTGAAATCAACAGTTGGGACTGAAATTAACATTTATACATTGGAACTATAAAAAAATGTAATAGATACTTTCTTTTCCAATAAAAACTTGCCACTTTTTGATGTTTAAAATCAGCTTTAAGGGGAGGCTAACATTTTCCTTGAATTAATGAAGAGCCTTAATATAATCTGTGATCCAAATTTAAATGAATAGTCTTCAAAATTTGTTCCTGTACAGAATATCGATTCTTTGGAGTTAATTATGCAGGTGCATGTGTTGCAGGCATCTTTGAAGGAATTTATATTTCATTTCATTTTAGATTACTATAGCTTTTCCCCATCCTTCCCCAGGCTAGACATCCTATTTCAGCCTAATTGTCTAATGTCTGTACTGATGTCCAGAGTGACTGATAGACATCCTGTTGCTTAGATGTAGGTACCTAGGGGTATAAGGGATGCAGTGGACTAATCCACGGAAACAAGGGCAGATCGTGGAGCATGTAGAATAGTTGTGATAATAGAGTTGAGCCTAACAGATCACTGATGTGGCAGGTCAGAGTTTAGAGGGAAATCATTTAGAATAAATGAAAGGGAGAGAGGGCAATAACAAAAACATAGAGAGATGATGAGTCAGGGGAATCTAGGCCCTCAAAGAGGTAGTCTAGTCTCAGAGAGTTCTGTTTCTGTGAATATGATAATCTGATTTCTATATTTTGGGGATTATTTCCATTTCTATAATCAAATACACAGGCTTCTATCGTACAGATTGTGCCTCACTAAATATACTGAGGCATATTATTCTTCATCTTGTTTATTACAAGAAATTGAAATTGAAAAGCATGGCTAGCTGCAGTGTTGATTATGTATTTAGACTAATCAATTCACTGTGGAATCTCCTTTTTGCTTGCCATATTCTGGAACCTTATTTGCATAATTCCATTCCTGAAATTCTGATTTGATGGCCTAGATCTCTGCAAAGCAAGTGTTTGTTTTTATCCATTGGCACTTGAAGATGTTTAAGTTTCATCACTCTTCACTAGGACTGGAACTTTATCTAAATCTTTTGATTTGATGTCTAGTATCTCTGATCACTGAAAAGGTTTTAATTTGTGTTCATGCTTCATATATCTTATTATTGGGTCATCCAGTTATACTGTGTTACCAAACACATTAGAATGTAGATTTCAAGCCCAAAGCTTATTCACCGGCCTTGGTTTTATTTATGATGTGTATCAGTCACTAAAGATATGGTGATGACCATTTATAGACCTTTGAGGAAAATAATTCTGTTATAGAAAGTAAATTGAGCATAATACATTTTTCTTGAACTTGGTTCAAAGCTGCCAATTTTGACTAATCATTGGTAGTCTAAACTTTTACAGAATTTCTGTTTACATCGCAATTTTGTATTTTTAATCTGCACTTAAATTTAATTTGGGTCAAGTTTTGATGCTTAAAATTTTACGTACAGATGAAACAAAAACGTGCTGGTGCCAACAAATCGGCCACCAATAAACAGAGTAATGGTCCTGCAGGAAGTAACGATGACAGTATCCGCACTGCAATTTTGGATGAGGCCACAATTGTATATATTTCACGCTTTGTGTTGAATGCAAAAGGAAAAGCAAAAAACAATGTGATTTTCTTAGTATTTTCTTTGTGTTTGCAGGTCTTCTCCACTCTCAGCTTTAGTGGTTCCCATGTTTTCAGTAAACTAAATCGCAGATTTGATGTTGTAATTATAGATGAAGCAGCACAAGCTGTAAGTGTGAAATTGTCTTAAGTTTGTTGCTGAATCACTTGTTAGATTAGATTGCTTGTAATATAAACTAACTCGGCAAAGTTTGGTCCAAAGATATTGCAGCTGTTTACAAAAATATCTAGCAACTAATTTTGAATTGTAGTATGCAGATGGAATAAATGTCATGAACATGTTAGATTTCATCTTAAAACCAATTGCCACTAAGCAAAGTTGTCTAACAGATATGTAAGTCGCATCCGGAGAATTGAGGTAGGTGATGTGGGACTTCTCAACACCCTTCCACAAATGTCTACCAAACCAGGCGATGCCTACCAGAATAGGCAAACCAAGAAGATGAGCTCTAGGCTCTGATACCATGTTAGATTTCATCTTAAAATCAATTGACATTAAGTGAAGTTGTCCAACATATATATAGATCAAAAGCAATGTGGGACTTCTCAATAGAACAAACTATCCCTAAAACTTAAGCTTTTAGGTCAAGACACTTGACCGGTTTTATGTCATGAGGTTGTTGATTTGTGAGGATTCAAAAGCTGAGGATTGCTTAGATAAAGAAGTGGAAAGACCTAAGATCTTGAATCTGGTCCACTTCTGTAGAGAAGAAAGGCGACTAGTGTGCTTGGGTTAGCTTCATCTTCATGGTGAAGGTACAGCAACAAATAGTTAGCTTCTACTTTTCAAGTTATCACCATGATTTTAGAGGTATAATTGATTCTTGGTTGTTATCCAAGCATACTAGACATCAACAGAACAGAACTGAAGAATCTACTTTTAGAAGAGTAACCCCAGTCTCCCTACTCAAGAAAACCCAAGAAAGGCACATTTGATAATATTTGGGCAAATAGTTTAGCTTTACTTGGAGAAAGAACATACATGAAACATGTAGAACCCAATACACAAGGAGGAGCTTCATAAAGAGATTCTTAGGAAACAAGAATTATTCCCTAAATTAGACTGATACTTCCTAAATTACAATGAAACTAGGCAATCATGGGAACTTGAGAAAGATTTACTATTGAGTAGTTTTCAACAGTATTGTTTACTTGTTATTATTTGTAATGAGAAGATTCAGGATTGTCAATATCTAATGTAAAACGAATGTTACTTATTTTATTTCAACTCTTTATGACAGGTGGAACCTGCAACTCTTGTTCCTTTAGCCAATCAATGCAAAAAAGTTTTTCTGGTACATTTCATTACTATTTTACTTTTTTACAGTATTTAAGTTGCAGAAATGTCTTAATTATAAAATACAAATTTCAAGGGAAAATATACCTTTTGACAGCATCCGTTGAGAAAGCAAATTCATTATTCACTATAACTCTTGATCCAAAAGATATGACATGTTATATAGGAATGAGATTTATAATTCTGTCTATTGATTTATTAATTGGTTAGACAAGGCCTGTTGAATGGAAATATTATTTTTACAACAATTATTGAACCTTGCTAAAAACTTGTTGGATGATGGTCCCAAAAGAAACTTGTTGGACAAAACACTTTTAATATCATTTTGGGAAAATGTTGTCTTATAGCTGCTACATTTTCTTGCTATTTTTTAAAGGTTGGGGATCCAGCTCAACTTCCAGCAACTGTAATATCAGACACTGCTAAGAATCATGGGTAAATCACTCTTTTGGCCAACACTTGGATTGTATCATTTTAATACGTTAAACCATTTTTATGGCTAACACTTCCTTTTTTGTCTCTTGTGTTTCGTGAACTCAAGATATGGCACAAGCTTATTTGAAAGATTGATGCAGGCAGGTTATCCAGTTAAAATGTTGAAGACTCAATACCGAATGCATCCCGAGGTTGGTGCATATTGTTAAGATGTTCTATGTTGAGTAAGGCATTACTTAACCCATTTCTAGTACATATGTTAAGCAGAATCTTGCAAAATTAATTTGTTTAATACATGTGGTCTTTCTGTATCCAAATGATCAAGAGGTTGAGACTCAAGAATTACCTCTGAATCAAGAGGTTGAAACATTAGAGAATTCCCTCCAAAACTAACTAGATACTTAACACTTGGCATTGCTGGTCCTAGGTCTAGTTGGGTAAAAAAGCTGGGGCATACCTTCTATTGCTGGCTTGTCTGCCCTGTCGCACTTATAATTGAGGACTTCTGCAGCAATATGTCAATAAAAAAAAGTCACTCCATTTTGACATGCTTTCTTTGAAAAATGAGTGGAGAGCTTTTCCCCCATACGGAGATAGATTATCCTGATTAGATTAAGAATTTCAGTTACCGGTATATTAGATTTCTGATGGAATTCCCATTGGCTAATTGAATGGAAATCCCATCTCATTTTTGATTTGACTGCCTAGACTGAGCAAGCAATACCTTTGCTGTCTCCTAGTGGAATTAGCAGAGGGCATTTGTTACACCATTTGTGCAGGTGGAGCTACTTATGCGCAAGAAATTTCGCAACCATAGGACAATTAGACCTACTACCTGTGTTTTTACCCAGGCTTCCATTCTAAGTTTATAACACTTATTCTACTGCCTTCCAGCACCGGGCAGGTGTCAGAAAGTGTATTTTTTTTAATATTTAATATACCAGGTTTTTCATTATTATTTAATACAAACAGATACCAAGACCCTTGATACTGAAATTGATTTAGCAAACAGATTTCTTGTCCTTTAAGAAGCTTGTTTGGTTTTAGATCCTTTTCTTTCTTTTTATTTTCATGTTAGCCAATTCAAAGTAATATTGCAGATGCAGTTGATTTTTTCTTTCTTCCTCTGCAATAATTGGTCTAATGGTTGATGTAATTAGATTTTTTTTAATATCTGTTAATCTGTGCTTAAAATATTTAGCTTATAACCAAGTTTCAAAAGAACTATATGGCTGTGATTTATAGGCCCCTTCCTCTCTGTGCATGTGTGGCACCCTAGTCACTTAAAATGATAGGCTGTCTTTCGGTCTTTATTAAATTTAGTTTTATTGAGATTTAGAACACCTTGAAATTCAAAATTATAGTAGCTTAAATTTAAATACTTGATTAACCAAGATTTGAATAAAGAATGTCAACACATTGCCATTGCCTAATATTCAGAAGTGGAATCTGTCTAGAAAAACGTTTTAAAATGAAGCCTACATGTTACAAATGCAATGTGCAGAGAAAAATTCCTGGCCTCACTTCCACAGTTTCTAAAGTATTTTCTAGGCTTTGATTTTCATGTAATATTCCATTTTTTTGCTCCTTTCTATTACTTTTATCTTCTTTTTTGTGTTCTCTGCATCTATTTAAATTTCCTGTCAATTTTTTGAAGTGTTTTTTCTCATGTCATGATCAAACAGATAAGAAGTTTTCCATCTAAGGAGTTTTATGAAGACTCACTGGAAGATGGGGATGATGTCAAATTACGGACAAAACGTTCATGGCATGATTATCGCTGCTTTGGGCCATTCTGCTTCTTTGACATACATGAGGGAAAAGAGGCTCGGCCATCTGGGAGTGGTTCATGGATAAATGCTGAGGAAGTTGACTTTGTTCTATTTTTGTATCAAAAACTGATTACACTTTATCCGACACTGAAATCTGGTAACCAAGTTGCAATTATATCACCCTATAGTCAACAAGTCAAGCTCTTCCAAAAACGTTTTGAAGAGACCTTTGGAATGTCAGCTGAGAAAGTAGTGGATATATGTACTGTTGATGGTTGCCAGGTAAACTAGCTTAATGTTAATAATATGTCCTTCATTCTCATTTTTGCTTTTAATATTGTTTATTTAATAATAAACTATGCAAATAATTGAATAATAATAAACTATGCAAATAATTGAATAACTTTGTGATTGTTTACCATCTGGAATACAATTAACCTGACATCAAGTATAATTGCAAAACTAAGATTGTGAATGATTTAAATCACTGGTTGCGAATATACATCCACATGAACTGTTGCACTTCACCATGGACGAGGCCTTGTTGTGTAGTTTCTCAAGATTAAATTATAAAACTTCAGAAAATGGAGAAATAAATGATACCTAATTGCATTGTATGTTTTATAAATTTCTTTCATTTCAGTGATTTGTTACTTTAAGGATTGTGATATAACTTGGGTTCTCTGTAGCATGATTCTTACATGGTTGGCTCATTAGAAAACTCTCTTCTCTCTTTCAGGGACGGGAAAAGGACATTGCAATATTTTCATGTGTCAGGGCAAGCAAAGATAAAGGTATAGGGTTTGTGGAGGACATCCGGCGAATGAATGTTGGGATCACTAGAGCAAAGTCAGCAATATTGGTACTGTATTTTTTGAGGTTGATGTGATGCTTTCAAGAATTTGATTTGGTCGATATGCCTGAATGTGATCCATCTCTTTTGTTGTTTATATAGGTGGTTGGATCTGCCTCAACATTAAGGAGGAGTGGACAATGGAACAAGCTAGTGGAAAGTGCAGAGAAAAGGAACTGTTTTTTTAAAGTAAATGTGCTGAGAAGTCATTTATCTTTCTACTATTAGTAATTAGTAATGCAGTGAATTTGTTCCATTAAAATAAGAATTTTAATTGAGACTAATTGATAAATAAAAAAATCGCAGGCTCTATAAGTACATGTTCCTAATTATTTATAATGTTTACATAAATATTCATTTGTTGGTGAGCCTGAATCTATGCATAATCCATTCCTAGTTATTTAATTATGGACCCCCAAAAAATTCTGCACCTCCTACTTTGAAGCTGAAGACTAACTAAACAATTTCTATGTGCAGGTTTCTCAACCGTATTCCTCATTCTTCAGTGATGAAAGTCTGTCATCCATGCAAACAAAGGTGGATGAACCATCTAAGGTGGTAGGACCTGCCGAAAGGGTAGATAATAATGATACACAGCCTGACAATGCTACTGCAGCTTATAATGATCAAGCACAAGCCGAAGACAATGAATATGGAGAGGGCGGTGTCGACATGGATGATGGGGGTTTTGATGAGGATTAGGGTTAGTTGTTATATAGTTGTGTAGTTGAGCAGGTGCAATTTATGTCTTTTTTCCTGTAACGAGGATTGAGGACAAGGAAAATTGTAATCTGCACTAATCTGAATACTGATAAATTATAGTATATTATCTCTATTGCACAAAAGGGTATCGTAATTTTGATCACCAGAATTAAGCAATTTCTCATCCCTTGCTTCTAATGCCATCTTCTAGTCTTTGTATCTAATGAAATTCTTAATGAAGTTCTTAGAATAAGAACCGCTTATTATTATTTTTATCATTGAAGTGTCATGACGTGGCTGTCATGAAAGGTGGTGCAAAACAAAAAACGTACATGTTAAGCCGAATATGTAAGGTGATATTTAAGTTATGAAATTTTATGAATCAGTTTTTTGGGTTGGATTTTCATGTATTTCAGTCTTAACTATTTGTGTTTTCATGAAGAGTTGAGTTACAAAAAAGACTATCTAAATGGATACGTGAGTGAAAGAGTCAAATGAAAAAGACTATCATGAAATCCTTATTGATAGAATGAAAGTTGTTGTGAATTTTTAACACTTAAAGGAATTGACAATGCTAAAAGTATTATATTGAGTAAAATATAAAGCTTAATTTCGTATTTAAGTCAAGATATTTTTTATTGATTACAAAAAGAAAAATAAATAAGGATTTTGTATAACTTTCTTTTTGTTTTTGCCTAGATGTTTTAAAATTTTATTTTAGATTAATTTGATTCGATCAAGAGATAAATAAATTTTAGACAAAAATTATTTTTATCACAAATCAAATTCAGACACTATTTAAATAATTTAATTTTAATTTAACATAATAACCATTTGTACTAAACTCTTTAGTCAGTGTTGTTTAACCTTGAATACGTTAGGTTCGTTTGGTTCCTAAATTTTTTATATAAAAAGTACAAATCTTTTTTGTTGGAAGACATTTTTCTTTATATATTATATATTTCATTGTAGAAATTAGTTTAAAGTGAAGTATGATAAGTTATTAGAGGTCCTAGACCTCATAATCTTTAACTAGTCTCTATGTAGTATCTAATTAATTGTTATTAATTTCTTCTAGTAAATTAAATTTTTTTAATACATGTTATATATTGATTGATTGAACCATGGACATACGATGATCTTAAACTATTGAATAATTTTTAATAAATATCTAATTTGATGGTACACTGTGAGTTAAGATATGCTATCTTCATTGTTATATATAAGATTTAATTGTCTAATTCATTAAAATTAAAAAAAGTAATTAAATTAGTTAATAATAAAAATTTATCTTATTTATACATTTTTTTCCTAAAATTACCTTTACATTACTTTTCTTTTCTAATTAATAATCACATATTTTTAACTAATTAGAGTGCAATCTTATATTACTTATCTCTCCTAATTAATACTTATCTTTTTTATAATTAATTAGAGTGCATACTTTTAAAAAAAAATTAATTAATACATTTTATCAAATTAAGAGAACATGTTTTAATTAAAAATATTTTAATCTTAAAAAAATTAATATATAAAATTATATGAATTGAGTCTTATATAAAAGAAAAAATAATTATTCTATATTGTATAACAAAGATAATATAATTTTGTGATAGGTTAGAACTAAATACTATGTAATGGGTCTAGGACTTTGTTTTGGGGGCAAACAATGTTTTGAACATTTAAGTTAGAAGTGAAATTTCATTAAAAAGTATCTTTAATATAATTTCATTACAATTTTTTAAAACGTGATTTTCAATACAAGTTATTTATTAATTTCTTAATCATAACATTGATTAATTAAATCTAAATAATATTTCGGTTTTCATGGGTCGAGAGAGAGAGGTCTGTGGGGTATATCCTGAGGTTAGCTTTTATTTGCAATAAGGAAAATACTTCATCCTCCTTCTCTTGCAATAATTGTTTTATGTTAAAGGATGATCAAAGGATTCAAAGCATAAATTTTGATCAAATCATAAATTTTTGAGGCCCAATCATCATTTCTTCTCAACGGAACTTTATTTATGGGCAAAGGTAATCATACTGATGTGTGATGGCTTTACTGTTCTTTCCCCATATGTTGTTTACTTCTTTTGCCCAATCTTGGCATTACCTTTCTCTAAAGTTGATATCACTTCAACATCATTTTGACAATACCAAGGAGCGAGGTGTTAAGAAATTATGCGATGATAAAGGTAAAGTTATGCAAAGTCACAAATAGCAACATCCTTCAACTGATTGATATGCACTTTCATCGATTCATCTTTTAAGATGTATAAATTGTTCATTAATACCTGTCACGTAAAGAAGTTTCGGTTTTTAATGTTATTTCTTAATTATATATATTTGAGATATATATAATTAAATGTTTTATTTTGTATTACTTTATTATTGTAGCTTGTGTGAGGTTGAGGTTGGACTTACAATAACCGCAAATAGAAGATATAGCTTAAGAATAAAAAAATTGGTTAAAAGAGGGTTGAGGTATATAAAGCGAATTTAGAAGAATGAACTTTATATAATTCTAAAATTTTAGAAAGAAGTTATAGATAATAACTCTAGATCTTGAGATTCTTCTTTCTCCTCCCTAACCTTTTGAGGGTATAAAGATTTGTGGTTGAGTAGCGAATGGTGATTAGAAGCCCGCATTACTGATACTTGAAGTGGAGTTCATTTTTTTTTCTCTTCTCTTATATTTTCTTGGATTTTGGAGGTAAATGCAACTAGTTGTTTGATTTTCTAAAGTTGTGTATGATGTTTTTATCATGTTGATTTGTGCTTTGATAAGCATTGAAATTGAGATAAAGGATTAGACTTGGTGATCTTGGTGTTCTTGGTGTCCTTAGTAAAGAAGGAAAAATTTGATGATTTGATTGGTGTATTATTGTTGTATGTCTCATTTTCTTAAATTCATGAGTTGCAAGTTGCAATAACTAGAAGATTTTGAGTTTGCATGCATGTATTGTTGTGTGGGTTGAGAGGATTAGAAGTTGTTCTTCAATTGTTGGATTTTCTCAAACTCATGCATGTTTTTTAGGCTTGCTCGCTCAAAGCGTCCGTGGGGTCACTCAAAGTGAGAACATTTAGAAATGCTATCTGACTTAGGTCACTTTGAGTCAATTTTAGTCACTCCGAGCGAGGTGTTGGACGCTCCAAGCAAATTTTGGTTGCTTCGAGCGAGCTGTTGAGGGCTCCAAGTGAATTCTAGTTGCTCCAAGCAAACGTTGAGGCGCCTAATTTCCCTTTTAACTTGTAATCTTCTTCGATATCTTATTGTGTTTGTTGTTTTACATGGTGTCTAATTATGATTGAGGCTAGTGTATTATATGTTGATCAATGATGATGTATAATGGTGATCTAAGTTGTTTTAAAGTTGATTGTAAGTTGATTTTGATTGGAGTTATTAAGTTGTTTAGACATGTGGTGTTGTGATATATGTCTCTGTTAAGATACATAAAAACTAGAGAAGAGAAAAGTTATTTTTGAAAGTTTTCATATCCCATCATATGGGTATCAGTTGTGGTAGTTAGAGAAACCAAAGTTGAAAACCCTTTAGTGAGTAATTTGGCTCCCAAAGGAGAATGTATTTTTTGTAAGGCACCTCTTTTAGGATTTATGTGGAACAATATAGAGGTTTGATTGATCCATATTGTAGTTGAAGTGAACATTGAGCAAGGGAAGTCTGTGAAATGAATGCTTGTTATTTAATTTATTGCCTAAATTGGTCATTGCATGATTGAATTAGTGAAAATTATGAATTGAACACGTATGTGATAGTTGTATTTATTACATGTGTATGTTGATATATGTTATCAATTCTTTATATATTGATTTGTGATGATGTATATTGATGGTTTAACTATTGATAGTTGAATGCTATTGAATGATGTTGTTCTATGTATATTGATCTGGGATAATATAATTGTATGGTTGAAATTGTTGAGAAGCATTGGTATGTTATAAATTGAATAACGTTGTTAGATCAATATCCAATGACCTAGGATAATGCATATAATTGAATATTGTTGAGGTGTGATACTAATAATGCTTTAGGCATTTAAGCATGATTTGTTGACTTGTTAAGGTGGTGATGTTGAGAGTGTTATAGGCATTTATGCATGATGTGTTGATAAATTATTGAGGTGTGATGTTGAGAATGTTATAAGCATTTAGGCATGTTGATTAACTTAGGATTATAAGAGATGGTGTTTTTTGAAAGTTGGATATCCTATTTTGAGGATATCAGTGTGGTGCTCTAGGAAACCAATTGTTGAAAATCCCTCATTGAATATGTGTTAAACTCTTAGAGTGGATTAGTGAGTCTTCTCTAAATCCTTAGTCAATGTTGGAGTAAGGTAAGAGTTACGATCCTTAACTAATTACTAGAGAGGTAAGTGGTATCGCGAGGATAGTTAGTTAAGCTATAATCCATGGGGGACTTATTTAATGCATGCTAATGTCATGGTAAGTCCACACTCAAATTATGTTATACTTGATGATAGTATTGAACTTTCCTAATGAAAGTGGCGACGTTCGAGAAATCAGAAGATATGGATTGTTATCCTAATTTAGTTGTCAATCTAGTAAGTATGTTAGGCGTGAAAATCAGAAGATATGGATTGTTATCCTAATTTAGTTGTCAATCTAGTAAGTATGTTAGGCGTGAAAATAATTAGGTTGGTTCAACAGGATCAAAATCACTTAAACTACTCATCTTGATGTAGCAAATCTTCGTAGGTGAATGCGCAAAAATGCAATACTTAAAGTGTATGCATATGATGTGGTGTTGTTTATTGATGTTCATATGCTTGGTTGAGAATGTTGTTGAACATTAATGTGGTGAAATATAATGTTCTTATGTAATTGAATTACTTACTGTTGTAAGGTTGTTGATGTTATGTTGAGGTGATTTGTCTTGTTGATTTGTTATGAACCATGAAGTGTTTTATTATTGGTTTACATGTTGGTATTAATAGTATAGTTGTCTTTACTTCTCTATATATATATATATATATATATATATATATTATATGATTATGTTTTAAAATTTATCTTATCCTTACATGTTTTTCTAGCAATTAAACCAGAATAATCATGATATTTCATGATAGCAGAGCAAGCTAACTAGAGGAAGGCTCCTATTTTGTGAAATCATGTTGTTGGCATGTAGTTTAGTATTATTATTGACGAGAGTTATAATTATTATTAGTTATTTGATTGACAACTTATGATTTTAATTTTTACAATTAAATTATTGTACTATACTTATAATTAATATATATATATATATATATTTTAGTTCAATTGATGACTATATATATATATATACATATATGTTATACAGGATATATCCAAATGTTATGATTTTATTAATTCTAAGTATATTAATCATTTTTTCGATATTAGTGTATGATTCATAAGAGGACTCACTACAACGGATTGTTTCATAAGGACTGATCTTTCACTTCTAATAAAGCTTAATTAGTTCTTTTTAATGATTTTGAATGTGTTTTGTATGGTTCTTTCTTTTCATTCCAGTACGCTTTAAATATCAATCTTTATTTCATATTCAATTAGAATGCGAAAGCACACTCTTAGAGTGAATTAGTGTTTGATGCATTAAACACCGTAACTTATTAAAGGCTACTTTTAAAAGATTTCACCAACAAACTACCGAGTTTATCTGAGGAATCAAACTTTACATTGAAATTTGGAGATAATTAATGTATATTTGTCCTAGATAATCACACTTGGTCTCAGTAATTAAGCCCGTGTTCAGTTGATGTTTTAGTAATTTAGTTACTACAATTAGATGCGACTTTTTAAAACTAAGTTCTTGCTTTTCAATGTTGCTTCATTGAGGAAAGAAATTGATTCCAAAATATTTAATAATTAATATATTTTAGCACATGTTTTACGTAGAGTTTTACAGGGCAAAAACAATCAATGTGCGTAGGGTAAAGTAATTCGCAAGAAACGAACAAAATAGCAGCAACGTGACGAGGAAAGTTCATGCGGAGTTTTCAAAAGAAGCAAAGTCATTGACGCACATAAAGCAAAAAGGATTTTAAAAAAATGTTACAGCAATTAATTTAATATTTGTATTTTTTAATTAATGGTTGAAATTCGATTATCGATATTAACAAAATCCTTGACCCACATGAAGCGAAAATGATTTATTTAACTATTTTTTTAATGTAATTGTTGGGTTTAGATGTGACTATAACTTTTTTCTTTTAGAAGAATTGACTCAATTATTTGAAACATATAATTGGGAGATTAAATATTTTTTTTTCCATGCTTATATATCTTCATAAAAAAAAACAGAAAACATGTATAAAAGGTAATCTATAAAAAACAATATAAATGATAATAAAAGTTATACAGATACAAAGTTAGGAGAAAGAAAAATAATGTACACAGGTAGAAAAGGAACAAACAATTTTCATTTCATTTATATAAAGATTATTTATATAAATAAATAAAACTAAAAAATTAATTACAATTTTTATATAAATAAATAAAACTAAAAAATGCATTACAATTAAATACATTATTGTTTTAAAAGTCATACATGATGTAGTTTTTAATTAAAGTTTATTAGTCTAATAGGTCCTCCGTAAATCCATACATCATTAATTGATCATAAATTATCTTTATTACTAGGATACTTCTAATTATTAGTAACTTTCTTTCCTAATAATTAAATTTTAAGGTTTTTATTAACAAATTAAGAAATACAATAAATATACACTTTTTTTATATATATATTTTAACAAAATAATTTACTATAATTTTAATAATAATGATTAAATAATTAATAAAAATAAAAATTAAGAAAGATTTAATTAATATTATATTAAAAGTGAGAATATTATTTTTTGGGATATTTTTAAATATTAAAATCATGATCATTTGAGTTATAAGGTGGTTTGAGGGAGAAATATAAAGTTGAATCGACAACAAATATTATAACAACTGACAATTAATATTTTTTATTAAAAATAAATATTATGGGATGAAAGGAATATAAAAAAAAAAAAAATTTATTAGACATATGAATTTGTAATTAAATAATGGTATAAGAAAACATTAATAAAGACAATCCTATTATTTATTCTTTTAATTGCTTACCATCGAATAATTCTTTACACTAACATTTCATCATAATGAAAATTTTATAATTATTTATAACATCCTTTCAACATTACATTTTCACAAAGAAAAATGAATCATTTTCTTAAGTCGATGTTGGTTGGTCGGTGAAGTTTTGCAGCTATTTTGTTTGATTTAATTTTCATTCTTGTCATTGAGGGTTGTGTATTCTTTGGTTGAGTGTCCCTTGTTACAATGGTAGCGACATGATTTAGAAGGATCAACTCTTAGAGGTGTGTTAGCATGTTTAGGTATCAAAAAGACCTCTGTCATGAGAACTTGGTCAAAGAACCTAAACCTACTTGCATATATTTGTTGGCTCAACGCTAAAGATTATCCATGTTGAGTGGTAACTTCTTGTAGAGGCTATTGAAGAAGGGTCCGAGTCTTAAGGTCATGGTGAGATGGTGCAAGGCAACAATGAGATTAAAATCTTTGATTTCTAACACTAATTTGTTAAATTTGTCCATGCAAACATAGAGAAATTCTCTCTTGTCTTACCGGATACTCACCAACACTAAAGAAGTTAGTTGGTGAGGTCGATTAGTGGCAAACTAGATGGTGAATTGAAAGGTAAGGGCATTGAACAAGTCAACTAAGTTGGACAAAAGACGGGTGAACCAACTTAGTGTTTGTCCCTTTAAGGAATTGGGAAAGATATGACATAGACATAGAGTTACATCATTCGTTGTGCTTAGAGTGACCTAGGTGAGGAAAATGTCTATGTGCTCATCGAGGTCTAAGGTGTCCTTGTATCTGTGCAAAGGGAGAGATTTCCAATGGTCAAGGAGTGATACTTGCATGATGGTGTGGATGAAAGGATGTTAATGAGGCCCGATCAGGGTGTTATGGTTGTGCTAATTAAGGGTTGGTATCATAAGCATGGTATGCACTGGCGTAGCTAAGGAGATTTGAGGTGTGGGATCATGGTATCCCTAGGAAGGGTAAGAGGATACCTCAGGCTGAGCATAAGTCAGATGTGATGGTCTCCAAGAGGGGATTTTGGTTTTTCAAGTGGGCATTCCCTTATTGTAATGTCGACAACTTTTTAGCATCTCTCTCGCGTTGTTGGTGCATTATCTCCATCTTTTTTCTTAATTGGCGAATGACTTATAATAAATTTATTTTGCCCACAACTTCCACATGATCTTCCTCAAAACGAGGGTCTCCAATGGTTGTGTTTTTCCTTGTAGTAATTATCATGAAAGGGTAGTTCATTACTTAGAGCCTTTAACTTCGAACCCCATGGTGGGTGCCAAGATGTACTTGTCTTAGGGTACACTAACAAAACTTTATCGACGAACTCTAAACTCTTTTCTAGCTAATAACTTTGATGGGTGACATACTTATAAAAGGTACTTCAACACTCTAGGCAGAATGAGCTCAAATATGTAGTTGATTAATAAAATGAATAGTAATTTTATCTTGATTTATGTAATTATTTATATTGATTAAAATGAATATGAATTTGGTGAACCTTGGTTCATGATTACCAATTAGGTAATATAGCTACTGATGATGGATTAATACCTTAAATTTGTTTGTTCTTTTCATTAATCACATAATTCATGCTACGAAGGTACCCCTCATGACTGTGTTGATCAACTCTCTCAACAGTTGAGGATGTTGAAACAACCTGAAGTAGGTAAAGTTGCATGGCCACATATTCTTAGATCATTCAACCATTCCGGTTGCCAATGATGCTAAAATCATGATACTTGTATTAATTGTTTATGTGGTATGACCATCTTCTTTATCTCGACATCCAAGATGATTGAGACAAATGCATGACATATGAAATTGTCCCTTATCTCGATCAAAGTTGGCACCTCTCAATCATTCTAACAATTGAGGTTGTCGAAGAGATGACCAAATAATGTTTTCGTAATCTCTTTTCGATATAAAACACATTAGTTTTAATTGTAGTAGTTGAATAATTAAAAAAATTAAAATTAAAAATAATTGATATTACATTTAAAAGTGAAAACATTATTTTTTAGATATTTTTAAAATATTAAAACTACGATCATTTGGTTTATAACATGATTTAAGAGGGAAAAAATAGAATTGGAATGATAAAAAGGATGTGAATTGAAATCTTTCACTATTATAACAACTAAATTAATAATTAACATTTACAAATAAAAAATATAATTATTATAAAACAAAAAAATATAAAAATTAATAAATTTATTATACATATAAATTTGTACTTAAACAATCATGTAAAATTATATTAATAAAGGAAAATTTATTATTTTTAAATACTTACCACTGTAATTTTTTACACAAATATTTCTTTACAACGAAATACTTATAATAATTTTTTTTTGATAAAAATAAAAAAAATTATAAATGATCACAATAAAAATTAAACTTAAGTTCTCATTTTTTTTTTTTTAAGTATTTCATCCTTTCAACATTAATTTTTAGACAGAAAAATGAATCGTATTATTTTGAATTAAAAAGAAAATCCAATAACCAAATGAAAATGTATAAAAAGAAGAACACGCAGAAAGAACGATAAACAGAGATAAAGAAACGTGAATTGTAAAATCGGAGAAATGAACAAGGTAGTAGTAAAAGCATAGAAGCGATTGATTCATGAGAGGCACGTGTCGTGTCATGTCATCTCATGCGAATGAAGAAAAAACAAAAAAGTAAAAATGAGCATTGCATTAATGATTGTTCTGACTCGGAGGAAGTTGAGTTGGTGTCTGGAGAATGGAGATGCTTCCATACCTTTCCTCACTCCACCTTCAAACAAACTAATGTGATGTGAAGCTGAGAACTCAATTAAAAAAAAAAACAAAGAAAAAGAAAAAGAAAAAGAAAACGAGGTTGTTGGTGTGTGTGTGTGTGTGTGTTAGTAGTGTTAATGTTAATGTTAACAGTAGAAAGAGAAAAAAGAAGCGCAAAAAAGAAGGCTTGAAACGCGGCATGGCGTCGTCGAAGGTTGTCTCGACGAATCCGGATCTGCCACGCGACTCATCTATATCTCCCATTTGCTCCCTTCTCTCCGATCTCAACCCCACCTCCATGGACGACCTCCTCAAGTCCATCACCCCCGCCGCCAAGACCGTCGACGACGTCTGGAAGGAGATCGTCGGCGGCGCCGCCGCCCACCCCGCCGCCAACGACGACACCCTCCAGATGACCCTCGAGGATTTCCTCACCAAGGCCGGCGCCGTCAGGGAGGAAGACGTCCGAGGCGGTGGCGGCGGTGGCGGCCCTTCCTCCCTCCCCTTCCCCCTCCCCGAGGGCTCCTCCTCCTCCGTCGAGCCTTTCGGCAACGGCGTCGCGCCCTCTCCTTCCGTTCACAAAGGGAAGCGAAGGGCCGTTGAGGAGCCTGTTGATAAGGCCACTCTTCAGAAGCAGAGGAGGATGATCAAGAATAGAGAGTCCGCCGCTAGGTCCAGGGAACGCAAGCAGGTTCCTTGATCCTTCTCTTCTAGTTTTGCGTCAAGATTCGATTTTTCCTTTTTGGGTTTTCTTCTTATGCTCTGCACCCTCTACAGGCTTACACTTCTGAGCTCGAGTTTTTGGTTCACCAGCTGGAGCAAGAGAATGCGCGCTTGTTGAATGAAGAGGTGTCACTTTCCTACTCTTGCTTTGGTGGTTTCATGTCTTTTTCTCTGGTTAAATTCAGAATCAAGAGAACGGTGTTGGTTGGCAGGGTTGTGTTTAGATAGAGAAATTGGGAATGGTTGAAAGCATAGAATTGGTTCACGAGAGAGGTTTTGGTGTTGCTCAAAATTTATTCAAAATCATATTTTTATGTACTCTGCACAGCCAATTAAGTTAGACCTTATCCATGGTTCTACTCATTTTATTAGTCTCACTCAGGGGCGCTGCCAACTGAGTTAGAACTTATGGATGATTCTACTTATTTGATTGGTCTAACTCGTGATTTTGTAATTTTTGAAAAATTTTAAGTAATTGCTGGGAGAGTGTATTGGAGAAGTGTGGATAATACACTCTCTAACATATCTTTGTACCACAATCTTTTTATCGGCTAAAATTTGTTGAAAATTATATAGTATTCATTAAATATGGAGTGAGACCCATAAATTTTTGTGATTTCTAACAAATTTCAGTGAATAAGAGGAATGTGTGTAAGAAAGAGGGTTATTAACATTTTTTGTGTCAAAGAGTTAGTTGCTAGGACACCTCTTAGCCTTATTCAAAGAGTGATTGGAAAGATTCTCCACTAAATGAGTATTCTTTGAGTGAACTTGTGGAATGCATGATTTGGTGTTCTGATAGCATTTTTGGGGTTAGAGAGTGAGTTGCTAGGACTCCTCCTTGTCTCATTCAAAGAGTGGTTGGAAAGATTCTCTCTATTAAATGGGTAGTTTCTGAGTGCACTTGTGGATTGCATGATTTCGCATTCTGCAAAGTTGTCTCATTGCTGGTATTTAACTGATGACAGTTTAAAACTTCCCTTGGTTGGTTAATGCAATTTTGTCTGTGGGTAGTCAATTTCATTCACGTCTTTCGTTGCTACTCTTTTTTTAATTCCTGGTTAAAGATTTTTACATTTTTGCCTGGAATCTGATTGTTTTATTGGTTTTTGAAATCTTGGTTCTGAATACAGGCTGATATGAGAAGGCAGAGGAAAAAACAGGTGTGTAATATATCTGCTCTTTTTTTGACAAGTTAATTTGCATGTTCTTGTATATTTGATCTGGTATACTTGAATCTGTCATGTAATGACATGTCTTCATATTCCATTATAGTTTTATTTTTAATAAATGTGGATTTAATTTGCAGACAGAAGCTCAAACTTGAGATTAAAAATGAAAAATGTAGGAAATTCCAGCTTAATGATGTTATCAAACATCAAGCCCTGATAGACTGGTGTTGTTAAGACTATAGTATTCACAGTTTAATCAGGAAAATTGGGTAATTGAAGTAAAGTAGTCAGGTCTTACTGTTTTTTTTTTTCTTTTTGTGGGGGTGGGGAATCATACCCGTCATGATTTCTTAGTTAAGTGCATACAATATGTAATTTGGAGAAAGATACTACTTTAAGTCTTAACCGTCCACAAGTTTCACATAACAAAACCCACTATTATTAATGGCCATGAATTTATTATTCAATATAGAGCATAATATTAGGCTATCTAGATTGTCATGTCCTGACTGAGTGACCGGCTATCATCCTTGTTGTATTGTGCTACCTCACTTGGACTAAACTTTCATGTATTCTTAGATAACATTTATTCACACCAATTTAGTTGAACCTGTAGTTTATGATATCTTGGGAAATCTTTTTAGAACTTTTGGTGAACTGTCATGTTTGCATTACTGCAATGCCTAAATTTTATAATTTTGGTTGAATTAGGAAATCACTAATAGTATTTCTGTATATACTTGGGGAAAGGATCTGCATAATTCTTATTGTATTGTATAGCCATATTATATAGTCTTACAGTTTGTTTAAATCATCTCTTATGATGAAATGGTCCCTTGTCTTCTTCATGCTCCTGTTTTGCTAGCTGAATTGGTTGATTGTTTCTGATTACAAAATCAACTTTAAGAAAGTTGATGTTTGTTAGCACTTGTTTGTCATTGATTTCATCTTTCCCATTCATCTGGTACATGAACAGATCCAAAAATTATGTACTACAAATTGCCTCAAAAAGTAATAACTGATAAGTGATATAACCAAGTGTGAATCCTCATCTGCACCAGCCTTTAACATTGTTCAAACCATATTAATACTTTTTGGTATGCTGGTTGTAGATCTAATCTCTATATCCTTTAATTTCATTTCCTGCAGCTAGTTGAGTGCATCATTCCAATTGAGGTGATGTCTAAACCAAAAAAAAAACTTCGGAGAGTAAATTCAGCACCATCATCATTGTGATCTGTTTATCATCACTCATCAACAGGCTAGGCTTTGTGGCTTGGTGTAGATATAAGGGGAAGAAAGGTTTAAGAGATTATAGCCATTGCAGGTTCTTGGAGCTACATTGTATAGAGAAAATAGCTGCAGTCAAATAATCCAAGTATTCTATTGATCCACTGTTTGTGGAAGATCGATGGTTTTGGGTGGTTTTTCCCAGACTAGGCCTTGTAGGTAAAGTTGAAATAAAAATTTGTGTTATGTTAATCAATGCAATTTGGATGTCATGCTAACTTATTTGGTAGAGATAAGGAACAGCAGTGAGAGAGGAATTGATGAACAATGGTGGATAGTTAAAATTTGAGTTTAAATATAATGAAATGTTCATTTATTATAAAATGAAAATTGAATTAACAGTCAATATGAACCTTAAATTTTTGCACGAATTTTAGCTGAGGATGTTTTGCTTGTGCAAAACTTTTGTGTATTTATCCTAATTATTTAGACATCAAATGGTATCCAAATTACCCACAATTATTAAAAATTGATACATTATATAATTATTTTTAAATTCTACTATTTTGTTGTATACAGTATCTACAAAAATATTCCAAAATTAAAGGGAATAATTTTTTGTTCTTCATTTGCGTTCATAAAACATTTCCCACTTTAAAAAGCCAAAATTTTCTGAAGATTGTTGTGATAATTAGTTTAACAATGAACTCATCAAGTTAAAACCATCTTTCTCTTAAAAGACATAAATCATATTCTAAAATTAATCATATGTTTTCCCTATCTACTTCTTCTATGGATAAAAGAATTGTCACTTTTGAAAAGATCAGGAAGTGAATTTTCTTTTGTTTTTAATTATAATTACTTATGTGGTACATCAATGTGAAATGAAATTATACACACAGAAAGAGGCAAATATAGATAGTCCCTGAATCTATTGAATCGCGATTACTATTTTTGGTACTATTTTTGGTCTCGGGAGAGGGGGTTGGTGATATTTTATGTGGGGATGAGACCCAATATTTAATGCACATGTCACTGTAACTTCAACCACCAAGGAAAATGAACCTACTGTATGATATTACACATTGGTAGTCAGTTTTTTT